GAGAGAGAGAGAGAGAGAGAGAGAGAGAGAGAGAGAGAGAGAGAGAGAGAGAGAGAGAGAGAGAGAGCGATACAAGTTTGGTTGTCACGTACCTGGGAAGATCATTGTGCAGTCCAGCGAAGAGGAAGGAGGTGGCCATAGCCGCGGTGCTCGTACACAGAGTGACGAAGAAGGTGAAAGGGAGGACAGAGGGAGAGACCGAGGAGGAAAGTGAAGCGGAGGAAGGAGAAGGGAGAGACGAACCAAAAAAAAAAAAAAAAAAGAGACAAGAGTAGACAGCCGGGGTGAAGGAGAAAGAGGCGAGGAAAGAGGAAGGAAGGAGAAGGGTGGCGAGGAAGGAGAAGATGACAGCCATAGCTGACCGGGAGAGTTGACCGGGAGAGTTGACCGGGCGTTGACCAAGGCGTTGACCAAGGCCGTTGACCACGACTTTGACCAAGCTGGAGCCGGTATAATCTCGCCAAGCCTTCAGCCTATCCCCTCGCCCTATGGATGTGCACATACCCTGTGGTACTTGCTGAGTCAAGTCTGTCTGTCTCTTCTTTCTGCATTGAGTCTCTTCTGTCCAGGTGATAGGAACTCTGTGGATGAAGTATAGGGCCTTGTTGACCAAACCCACACGGGCTGAGTAGGGCTAAAGACTGTGTCTTACGACTCGACTGTCCCGGAGGACACGAACCCTCCCAAGGGCCGGTACTGACCGGCGGGCTGCTCGGTGTGGCACGGTAGGCCCAAAATCCAAGTTGTGGGCTGCACAACAGGCCGTCTAAGTCTTGAGAGGACCTGCTGATCGCGTCGTCCTGTCTGCGACGTTAAATAATTCCCGAGGAGTTACGGGGAATCTCCTTAAATGCTTCCTGATCAGCAACAGGTCCTGTAGTGACAGCCTTAGAGTAGGTCTAGGCTAGAGACCCTAGTTGGCAGGATCCTGTCCGGATTCTATAAGTCCTTAGATTGAGTCAGTAGGTCGTGTCAATCAGGGGGTAGAGTCTAAGTGGTGAGGAGTGGAACCGTTGTTCGGTTGTGCACCAGACACCATGGTCGACACCCGTAGTGGGAAGACTACTGCCCCCTATACCCAAGCTCAAGAGGAGCAAGCCGACGCTACACTGAGAGAGAGAAGGGAGAAAAAGGAGCTCCTCAAGCAAGCGAAGTTGAAGGCGATAGCGGAGGAGCAGGCGGCGAAGAAGAAGAAGTTGGAAGAAGAGATGATAAGATTACAGAAGGAGAAGATGTTGAAGTTACAGCAGGAGGAGGAAGTGAAGAGGAAGGCTGCCGAAGAAGAAGCGGCAACAGAGGAGGAGGAAGTCGAAGAAGAACCCCTCGAAAGGAGACGCAGGGAAGAACGAGGGGAGAGCAGTGGCACGAAGGGAGAGGATGCATGGATGGAGAAAAAGATTAGCAAGTGGGTAGCTAATTTATCCCTGGGAGAGGATGAGGAGGCACTGTTGTACGTGCCGCAGGAGGAGAGAGAACCGTTTGCCAGGGAATTGGAAGCGATGGAGGACCCCCTGGAACGCCAGACGGCAGAAGATGAAGAAACATTGGAGTTGAAGTTCAGTATGATGAGGGAGAACTAGAGAAGGAGGGAGGAAGCCAACCGGATGGCTAGAGAGGTGGAGAGAGTGCGGGCGTGCAGACAAGAGGTACACGCACAAGCAGAGACCCCGACAAAGTTGGACAAGATCCTGGGGTACCTGGAGGTACTGAGCGAGGCCTGGCTTGAGGAGCATCAGGTCAATAAGGGTCAAGATGTGACCCTTCACGCCATTCGATCAGGGTTTAGAGAGTTTGCGCATGACGTGGTGACCCACGTCGGGACCGAGGTTAAGAGATTAAAGGAAAGCGCAGAAAAGTTATGCGCTGGCGCCAAAGTGGTGGCCACAGCCGAGGCCGCGCCGCGTCCCCACAAAGAGTCTGTAAAGCTCAAATTCCCTTACGCATATAGCGGGAAAAAGGACGATAGTTTTGATAACTGGGAGGCTAGCATCAACACTTATGTGTATCTGCAGCATATCGCCCCAGAGGAACAAGTCCTCGTAGCCTTCCAGGCATTGAAGGACGAAGCAGCCAGCTTCGCCAGGTCCCTTGCACGCGCTGCTGATTGTGAGCATAATATGATTGCATATTCTAGGCTCACCCCTCTGTCCACTTTCCTCAAACTCCTGCGTGAGAGGTTCGCTGACGTCACGAGGGGCGTCAGGGCCTCTAACAAACTCCAAACTATCCACTCGCGACAGTGGAGGAGTGCGCGAGCACTCAAAGCTGTCATGGACGACTTGGTAGCCGTCCCAGACCACGGGGTCACTGAGACCCAGTTGGTCCAATTGTTCTATCGTGCCATGCCAGAGCCCTTGCGAGGGCACTTCTTCGACAAGACCCAACAGGCCAACATCACGTATGAAGTGGTCTTGTTTGAGGCGAGGTCCATGCCAGCTTCCACTTTCTGGCATGAGGACTTAGATAAGGGTAAAAAGTGGAAAGGTCGTACCATATCTGGCCAGGTTAGGGCCAATGGTACTGACGAAGTCCCCTACAGTCAGATTGAGTGGGGACTCGAGGAGGAGGACAATAGTGTAGGTTAGGGGAGGACCTATGCTGCTGTCGTGGCTGGAGGGAGGCCGCAAAGTAGAGGAGGAGGCCAGGGCCAAAGGGGCCAGGCCACGGGAGGTCGAGGACCAGGCGCACAGGGGGTTGGCGTTCAAAGGAGCCGCCAAGAGGGAGGTAGGGGTCAAGGTCCCCCGCCAAATCGTCGAGGTCCCCGTCGGTCCCTGCAGCAACGAGGTGGAGGGTCACCTCAAAGGAGAGGAGGTTGGTACCCAGGTTGGCCACAAGGCCGGCCTTGGGAAGATCTGGGCATGGACCAGAGAGTTTGGCAACAGCGTATGGACCAGGGGCAGTGCATATATTGCGGTGACCCGGCCCATATTATTAAATATTGTCCTAAATATAGACAGGCCCGATGGGCTGCCCAAGAGTCAAAATGCGATCGCCGGTAGGGGTGGCAACTGCCCCTACTATTAGGCCATGTGGGGAAGTGAGCGCGCTCATACAGGAAACTCCCACACCACATGAGCCTTTGGCAGAGGTTGCAGGCCCGTGCCTAATTAGTTGTCCAGAGACTGCTTGTATCAACGTCTCTCTAGGCACTTCCCTCACAGGCGTGGCAGAGGAGTTGAAGGAGAGGATGCCTGCCTGGGCCAAAATGAAGAAAGATAGTAAAGGACAACTAGTGCTAGTTGATGTAGAGGTCTTTAGAAGTAGAGTAGGGGCCCTTATAGATTCAGGGGCTACTCGTAGTTATATTAGCCGCAGAGCGCTGAAG